TTAGGACTTTTCTTGTAAATTCTATAACTTTGTAAAGGAAGGTCGTGTATAACTGGGAGCTGTCTCATATTAATCAGAAGTTTGCGGGCTACAATCATGCCTCATTAAGAAAGTTTTGGGTTATTTTTTATAGTTCCTGAAAAACTGGTTCTTCACAAAACAGGGTCTTAAAGACAGTTTAAGGACAGCTCTCATTATCGTATTCGGAATCAGCATGATTGATAACCTAACATCTACTAGTTTTTGTTTGGAAAGCGAGTGGGGAACTTCCCGCGTAAGCTGAAGTTGTCATGTGCCGATCAGCCAGCTTGTTTTATTCCACGCGGTTGGTTATTAAAAATTTTTAATTTTGTCTTGAACGGTAAGCTAGCAGTTGCTCATAATCAAAGTAATCCATAATCTTTTCGTCTGTGATTTAAATATAGCGTCATCTAACTGTCAAAAAATTTACCTGATCTTCATCTGCATGTTTATCTTCAACGGAAGAAAGTAACTCCATATCAAATTTTTTAAAGGCGCAGGGCATTGTAAACAAATGTAATTCATAACGATACCGTCGAAAGCAAGAAAAACCGTTTCTTTTCGTCTACTCAATAGTTTATTGAATATGGTTCCAAAAGTCTGTTGAATTGAATAGAGTTTATGTTATATTTACAATGTAAGTGAACACTTAAATTAGGGCTGTACGTAAGTAAGCGTCTTAAAATGAGATGGACTAGAATAATTCCCTTCCCATAATAGAACATCGCCTCGTCTTCTATTTTATTCAGCAAGTCGAATTTGAAGGCTGGTCTTCTGTCGCCATAACTTTTCTGCTTCCTGTTTTCTCTTGCACACATACTCATGTGTGTTATCCCTCCGTATGCACACAGGTACTTTATCACAAGGCTCTTGTCATATTAGCTATGTCCAGAGGCACAATTCATTTAATTCTTTCCGTTTCGGTCTTATTTTTCGCAACGTTTTTGTCAGTACTGTTTTTTATAAGAAATGGAAGATCATGGCCTTCATGTCGCAGAACCAACAGTGATCTTCTAGTATCAGATGGTCTTATATTATGGGAAGGGGATTACATAAGACGAGGAAAGACTGAAGAGTTTTAACATCGAAGCACTGTTGTATAGCAAGAATGTGTTTTCAAGCAAAACTTTCAACTTCATGTCTTTAGCAAGGAAACAGTTTAGAAAGAAAATTTAGAGATAGTCACTGACAGGCTATTAATGTAGTGTGTTAAAGATGCTTTTCAGGCTACAGTTTTTTATTATCGACTGTATATATTATATAAATAAAAAGAGGAGAAAAATATCCCTATGTTAAAAGTTTTCTGTTCAAATGTTTTGTTTATGTAACGTAAATAAATTTAATTAATGTTTGTATCCACTGAGGAAGATTGAATTATCAATCGAAACATTTGGATTTAAAAAAGAGTCAGTACAAAGAAAAACTACTTATTTAGAATTTTAAAAAATCTCATTTAACTCGGTATTCATATCGACTTTTCAAAAATGTCTTTACCCTTCATTACCGTAAGGAACAAAAAATATTTTATCCGACTTATTCTTTAGACAACAACACTTCCTTACAGTAGAAACACGTGATACTATTCAGTCAGATCGATCAATACGATGTCCTTCCTCTCCTATTTACAAGGTTGCTCGCGTTCAAAACTTCGACACGTTGCCACACGTGTTACAAATTTGTTACGTCATTTTGTTAGGTAGCCACTGAAATCAATAATGCATTTCCTGAACAATACGAATATTTAAATTTTGCTGATAATATGATAAGGGAATTATACTAAACTTTATTTTTGATTTGATCTACCTGATTTTTCCCCTATCCATTTACTGATACTAGCTTTCCATTAATTACATATCATTCCTTTATTATTATATGATTTATTTGCCGTTGTATAAACTGCTTCTAATACTTTTCTACGATGTTTATTTTCTTCCCTATCAAAAATTAAACTTTTCTCAAATTGAATACTACAACTACTTTTACTAACTAACAAATGTTGAACTACTTCTGACTCATTAATGCGATGATATTTGACATTACTCATATGTTGTTTGTGGCGTCTCTCAAAATCTTTCCATTTCTCCGACATAGATGCATCCATATTTGCCTGGCATACCATAAATAACATTTTTGGCAAACACAGAAGAATCTTTCTTCGTAGCACCAAGCTCATTACAGGCAATTAATTTGCTTTTATTTAAAATCGAACCAATACTTTTAGAGTGTTGTGTAAATGTTTTAATCGGATGTTTCCGTAAATCTCTTTTCAAACGTTCGGTGATACCATTCAAATGAGGTATTACAACTATACCAGAACACTGTTGATTATTGTTACCATTATTACTTTTACTTAAATTACCATTAACTTCTTTCTGGATTCTATCTTTAATATTTTTTGGAAATTTACTATTTTATAAAACTTTTTGCAAATCATTTAAATCTTTTTATTTTTGTGACTATTGTTGGCTATTAAAACACGATTTGTCATATTTTTAACGATTATTGTTTTTGATTACTGAATTGTAATTCGAATGAAAATTCAAAAGGTAATTTGATGCTGTTTCTTTTCGAAACCAACTGGTTGTAAAATTTTTGTTTATTTTGTCGATTGCTATTAAAACATCCAAAAATGGTATTTTATTGTTTTTCTCGAATTCGAATGTAAATTTAAAATTTATCGTTTTACTATTCAAATCTTCTACTAATTCTTTTACTTAATCTTTACTTAACTCTGAAATGAGAAGTCCGTCATCAACATATCGCCCAAAATAGGCAAATGGAAAATGTGCCTTGTCCCAATATCTTTCTATGAAATCGCTAAGTACAATATCCGCTAATAGCGGTGAAAGGGAAAACCCCATAGGAAGCCCGTTTTTTTGTTGATAAAAATGTTCCCCGAATTGAAAAGAAACATTGTCTGTTAAAAATTTTACCATGTTGATGATGGTAGCTTCATTTAAATTTGTATCTGCGTTCCAACTTTTATCTTGTTTTAATTTTTCCGATAAAATTCTTATCGCGTCATCTCGATCTATCGATGTAAATAAATCAACT